TCACTCTCACACACACACACACACTCACACTCATTCACGCATGCACACTCACTCGCACGCACACACTCATTCACTCACACACACTCACACTCATTCATTCACGCATGCACACTCACTCGCACGCACGCACACACTCACTCATTCACTCACTCACACGCACACACACACTCACTCACACGCACACACTCACTCATTCACTCACTCACACACACAGTCATTCACTCACTTACATGCGCACACACACACTAACTCACTCACTCACACGCACACACTCACTCACATGCACACACTCACTCATTCACTCACTCACTCACTCGCACACACTCACTCATTCACTCACGCACGCACGCACACACACACACACACTCACACTCACACACACACTCTCACATTCACTCACTCACTCGCACACACTCACTCATTCACTCACTCACACACTCACTCATTCACTCACTCACTCGCACGCACTCACGCACTCACTCACTCACTCGCTCATTCACTCACACACACACACTCACTCATTCATTCACACACGCACGCACGCACACACTCACTCACTCACACACTCACTCACACGCACACACACACATTCACTGACTCACTCACACGCGCACACACACACTCACTCATTCACTCACTTGCACGCACACATACTCACTCACACACACACACTCACACGCACTCACTCGCACACATGCACACACTCACTCACACGCACACACTCACTCACACATTCACACACACTCACTCATTCACACACACACACACACTCACTCACTCACTCACTCACTCATTCATTCATTCATTCATTCATTCACTCACTCACTTATTCACGTGCACACACACACTGTCATTCACTCACACACACTCACTCATTCACACTCACACACTCATTCACTCCTCACTCGGGCACACATACACACGCACACACTCACTCACTCGCGCACACACACACTCACTCACTCACTCACTCACACGCACGCACGCACACACTCACTCACATGCACACACTCTCACGCACACACGCTCACTCACTCACACGCACGCGCGCACACTCACTCACTCACTCACTCGCACACTCACTTAGTCACTCATTCAAGGCCCTGATATACTTCAAACGAAGTTAGTTTACGTTCTTGTTTGGGGGCAAAAAGAAGTTTGAAAAGGCTGAGCGACAGTATACTGTTTTCAAACAATCCGACACCCGCGCTGCTGGAGGCGGGGTGTTGATGTAAACGTGTGTCGTGTCGCGCCACTCGCACGTATGCCCTAAACACAACAACGATGCAATGACGAAATGTGTCTAGGTGTGAGACGGGCCCCAATGGTCAGAATATTATAGACAAAAGAATAATGATTAGCAGCAGTTCAGAGTCAAGTATCATGTTTGCAATACAAAAGGATCATTCCATTTCCATATTCAGTCCTTTATGGGAAGTGTGAATGTCTCATAGTCTGAAAACTTTTTTTTTTAAGTCTGAAAACTTAAGCATGATGTGAAAAAAATATTGGAGTCATCACAATAACACAAACATGATACTTTATTTTATGATTGTTCATGTATTTTAAACTGGGTAAACTAATGCACCTTTTAATATTTTATGTGGTGTCATGATTTAATTTTGATAAAAACAAAGGTTAAGTATTGAATGTTCTTTTGGCATTTCCTCTCAAATTCGCTTACAGAAAAAATGACTGCAGCAGCATGATTTTGTTCGTAATGAAGTCTCATCAGTATATCGGGGCCTTCACTCGCTCACTCACACACACACACACACACAGAGCCGTAGCTCATGAATTATTCACGATCTTGCCCTGCAGGAGGCGGAGCGTCAGAAGGAGGAGGCGGAGCATCAACAGGAGGATGAGGAGGGCTGGGTGAAGGTGACGAAGGGCAGCCGCGGTGTGAAGGTCCGCCCACACAGCGAGACGGCCAATGAGAGGACACTTCAGAAGGAGAAGAAGAAGAAAGAGCGCAAGGAGCTGCTGAACTTCTACACGTGGCAGCACAGAAACACTCAGAAAGAATGTGAGCCTCGAGACGATCAACACCACATTCATGCATGAGTGAAGACTCTGAGAGAGAGTGCACTAGATAGTGTGTGACGAGTCTGCTGTCTGAACGCCACCGACTTTAATTGTTTTTATCATATTCCTTTTTTCTTGCAATGCTGACTTTTTTTGTTTTTTTCAAAATTGCACCTTTTTATGTCATAACTGTTGTAATTCTGAGAAAAAAGTCAGAGCATGGTGCCGTGTGTCTGAGAGGCTCTCAAAGCGAATCATCCGTCTGTTTCAGATATCGCTGAGCTGAGGAAGAAGTTTGAAGAGGACAAACAGAGAATCGCTGTACTGAGAGCACAGAGGAAATTCAGACCCTACTGATTCAACCTACCCACAATCCCCTGCACCCGCTGACTCCACATACCCACAATGCCCTGCACCTGTTGGCCTGTACTGTCTGGTAACATGAAGGTTCATTTGAAATAAAGTCTGGAGAACATCAAAGGTTTCTGATTACAATGTGTTTTTGTAGCGCTGAGCAATGTAGCCAATCACAGACTTATCTGTTGATTCTTGAACACCTCTGATTGGCCATTCTGTTCAAATGAGTCAGAATTCACTAGCCAGATTTTTTTCTGTACGCTCACTATTAGTCTCGTTGTAACATGATGTAAATAAGAGGTTCATTGATTATAAAAGAGCTTTGTGAGATCGTGATGAACTGAAGGAAGTGACACCTTTTTAGTGATTATAAAGGAAGTGCTATTGCCACACTTTCTAGGCTAAATATAATCTGCTCAGAATTCAAACAAAAGTTTAGTTTTTTCAGCCATATACCCTGTACAAGCAGTTTCAAGAGTGGCATAAATCCCTCATAAATGTGATGCATTTTCGAATGGGAGAAAAAATAATTTGTCAAAATAGATGTTCAAGCAAAGTAAATGCAGACTAATAGGTTAATAGAAAAATAGTAGAATTTTCGTGTCAATTTTTTTTTTTTAAATGCGGTTGCAATACTTTTTTATAAAAGTATTTACTAGTAAATCTTGCATTTTTCTCACTGTACATTGTTCCTGAACTCGAGCTTTCCTGGGGAACACACTGCCACTAGGTTGAAGTGCATCATCCTAATTAGGAGACTAATTAGGGGACCTCGTCAAGGTTTTTCTGGTTTATCAAAGGGCCTAAAGGTTTATGATCTGTGAGTACTTTGAAGGACTCCAAACCACAAAGATATTGTGACAGCTTTTCACACATCCAAACTGAAGCCAAATGCTCTTTTTCAATTTGAGCGTTGCGTTTCTCAGCGGCTGTGAGTACGGAAACAGAAGGACACTGAAAGCATCTTCACATCATGCTCTTGAAGCAATGCACCCCCTATTCTATAACTGCTGGCATCAGCCGAGATGACTGTTGGCTTGTTCACGTCGTAATAAGCCAACACTGTGGCCGCAACTAACATTTCTTTCACTTTCGTGAACGCCTCCTCTTGACTCTTGTCCCATCTCCTCACTGCATCGGCTCTCAGTAGCTCATTCAATGACTAACAATGTAGCGCAGTGTGGCAGGTAACTGCAAAGCTAATTAATCAGACCCAGCATCCGATAATGACATGAGAAATCAGATTTGCCTTGATCTTTTGCCATATAAGAGTTCTTTGTACCATTAAAACATCCTGCACGTTTCATAGCTTAAAACGTTCTCCTCATTATAAACAAAGCATTTATTTAATCAAGCTCCAAAAACGGCTCATTTGGATCTGAGGTGCAAGATGAAATCACCCAGGCACAAACATCTGCATAAACACCGCTTCCAGAGCAAGACATTGACGAATAGACTTATTCTCACCATAGGCACTGCCCACAGGCGTTCAGTCGCTTAATGGCTGACACTTGGCTACGCTGAATGTGTGAGTGTTGCATCGCGTCAAAAGCAAATAGAAATTACAATTATTGCCGGGGGCGTTGAAACTGTTTCCCATGCAATAACATTAGCCAATCATAGCAGTGGCCAATTACTGAGAAGCTTTAAAGGACCCGCCCCTTTAAAACGTCTCTGGTTACTTGCGTAACTCATTTTCGTCTCGTTCCCTACACAGAGAACCTGGGTTACGCAAGTAACCAGAGAACGCCAAGCTAAAACCCTGCCGTATCTGGCCAGATGAAGAACCACATAGCATCCACTGCTGGTTCAAGTGGACAAGACAGGAGCCGTGTCAACATCCAAATTATAGAACTTTATAGAGCGTGCGGAGTGGACCATCCTGCCTCTACATACACATCCTCTAGGGGGACCCCTCTAAAAAGAGCTTGAGAGGAAGCCACACTCCTGGCAGAATGCGCCTGAATACTGAGAGGTGAAGAAAGACCATGCACCTTGTATGCCAGCGAAATAGCATCCCTAACCCAGTGAGAAATTCTGTGCTTCGATGCAGCAAGCCCACAGTGGCGGCCAGCAACAAAGCATGTAAACTCTGCTGATCACAGATTGGCCGGGAAGCCACACTCCTGGCAGAATGCGCCTGAATACTGAGAGGTGAAGAAAGACCATGCACCTTGTATGCCAGCGAAATAGCATCCCTAACCCAGTGAGAAATTCTGTGCTTCGATGCAGCAAGCCCACAGTGGCGGCCAGCAACAAAGCATGTAAACTCTGCTGATCACAGATTGGCCGGAGAGAATCGTCACTACCTGCGTCACTGAACTTGCGACAAAAACACAACAGAACCGCTAGATTTAAATCAGTACGGCCAGCGAAAGATCGAACGCAGCTGTTTTGAATGAGCGCAACTTTTTTTTAATAACCAAAACGTTTTGTTGTCTGTTGCGGAAGTACAGACGTTCCTCTCGTTGATAGCAGAGGAGTGGATCCAGCGAGAGCTTGATGGGGCGATGCGGAATGAAAACTTTTTTTTAAAACGCTTTTACCTTAGAAGATTTTGCTGTTTCATTTCGGAAGATTAACGTTTCCCTGCTTTATTCTTCATAACCCGAGAATGTGGCGACACATACCTGGGGTTATGCCGCAGAAACGGTACAGTGAAGTAGGCTATAGTTTAAAAGGTTGCTCGTTCGGCTGTTACACAGACGCTGAGCCACTTCGACAGCGCTTCAACGGACGAAAACACACACTTATGTCAAAATATGCGGTTTTGGCGAGTAACCTCGTAAACGTAGTCTTAAATGAGTTATAAAGTCTTAAATGACCGTAAAAAGAGTTTGGAGAAGATATGTGTCAGATCCGCGTCATGTGCATCAGGTTTTAAAGAGGCTGCACTGCTTTTAAAGTAAAACCTGCTGAAGTATGTCAGTCATAGAACAAAAGAAAAAGAGAAATCACTCGACTGCTCTAGTCGCTGATTAACTTTTGTTGCTTGAATAAAGATTAAGCTGTATAGTTTATACATATACAACTTATAGTTTATGTGAAGATTGTTTTAAAATCACTTTATATTTCAGAGCCTATTAAATGTTAAAAAAATAATGGATTCCAATTATACTGTAATGTTTAATGGCTATAATTAATAGGTAAAATTGAGGGGAAAAGTATTTTATAGAGACATCAGTATTGGTATCAATACTTCATTAATAATATACTACTTAGCCTAGTAAAAAGATGCCATTTAAAATATACTATCTTTATGTTGTTTCTACATTAATTTGGAGGTTCAATGTGAAATTGTTACTATAAATATGCAATTAATCATGATTAAGTACAGAACAATTTTATTATTATTTTTTTATCGATTGACAGACAGCACTAATGTTTCTGATTTCAATTTAATTTCTAATTGTATAAGTCCCCCCAGAAAGAGATCGGGATGGCCCCCACCCCCTTGGCCCCCTTCAAATTTTCAGTTTGATAATTCTGCCCTCAAATGAAGCTAATTATATAGCCCTGCTCTAATCTGCTAACATGGATGCGGAAAAAAATATGCACCACATACGCACTGCAAACTGAGTATGTGTGAAACGGGTGTAACACGATGGCCTGCTCCGTTTGCCAAACAAGAATCTAAATGTTTTTTAGGGACAAAAAATATATATATAAATCAATAAATCTGTTTTTTTTTTTTTCTTGTAAGTAAAGTAAAGACATTGTAAATATGTTTAGTCATTGTTGTAATAATGACTGCGTGTTTTTGCAAAAAGAGTTTCATGGGCAGTAAAAAAAAAAAAAATTTGGCCGGTAAAATTTATCACGTCAACGGCCATTGGCAAGTGTGGCAAAAAGTTAGTTTTAGGCCCTGTATATATATATATATATATATATATATATATATATATATATATTACTCTAGTCTTCAATGTCACAATTAACCATTACTATTATTATTATTATTATTATTTGAATTGCAATAATGTTTTATAATATTATTGTTTAACTGTATTTTTGATCAAATTTGTAGCCACATAGGCTATGTTGCTAAAAACAGCCTATTATAGGATTTTAAGCTAAATTTAAACAGTAAAAACGTCTCGGTTATGTATGTAACCCTCGTTCCCTGAAGGAGGGAACGGAGACGTCACGTCGGAGGACCGACGAAATTGGGATCTCGCTTAGAGGGACCAATCTACTTCGAGTGTAAACTAAACGAGCCAATGCACATTGGCATGCGATTATTGCATCCAGCTGCTGCTGATCACAGCGTGAGTATAAGTAGGCAGCAGGTGCAGCGCATATTCAGGTTTTCGCTGAGGAGCCGAGCCGGTGACCCGGCCGCTCAGCGGTGGTACAGGAGCTGTGGCGACGGGACGTGACGTCTCCGTTCCCTCCTTCAGGGAACGAGGGTTACATACGTAACCGAGACGTTCCCTTTCAGTCGGTCACTCTCGACGTCACGTCGGAGGACCGACGAAATTGGGATCCTACCAAAGGGCCACAGCTACTGCCCCTTCCAGTGTCCTGTGGAAGCCACCTGCGCCCCTATTTTTTGGCGTAGGCCCGGGCTTCTTCACAAGAGGACCAGCTACTGCTGCAATGGCACTACCCAATGAGTAAGACTGGATAACACTAGGAAAACGTACCCGTTCTACTTGGAACAGGGGCGTTACGGAAGCTCGAACCTTCCCGAAGGAGGTTTCGGAAGCAATACACATATGAACATCCCTTAGGTGCATATGGAAGAATGGAGGTGATTGAACCCACTTGGAATGGCAGAAGTCTGCCGGGGAAACACGGGCTCAAGGCTATACCGTGGACTTTACACATATGAGATCCACTTAGGTCTTACATATGGAACCCAGCCTCCTACCGGTTCTCGAGGATTCAGCGAGTGAAGGCCTGGCGCCGGACGCTCCGCCACGTCTGGCTGCCGAGGGGACGGAGGAACTCAACAGGGTCTACTGTATGGACTCTCTGGAGTGATTTTGCAAGCCGACCCGAAGCCGGGGCCTCTCAGTGCTTCTACCCGTTTGAGGTGAGAACACAGGAGGATACCGGCTCCACACGAAGGCTATAGAATCTAGCGAATGTGTTAGGGGTCGCCCAGCCCGCAGCCCTACAAATATCTGTCAGCGAGGCGCCACGAGCCAGCGCCCAGGAGGATGCAACACCTCTAGTGGAGTGAGCTCGCAACCGGAGCGGGCAGGGCAC